AATATGAAAAATCCCACAGAACGAATTAAATTCATAAACCGAGGTACACCTGTATTGTTTAGTTTCACTGTAAAGTGGAACTTTACCTTAAAAAAAAATGAACATGCTATGACTCTTCTGCATTAAAGTTACCTGCCTGTCCGCACTGGACGCTGAGCTGTGCATGTGCAGTTCAGTGTAAGAATTTCAGCAATGCAGAGATAACTGGACCCATGGAGTGATGTCCTCACAGCCCAGCCAATTGAAGCTTCCAAGGAACGATATCTAGAAGCCACTGGACTGAAGATCTCAGGACTGGAGGGAAGGGGAGTTTAGTTCTGCTTTAGCGTTGTTTAACAAGTTAAAATTTATAACAAATTCTAATGATTGGGTGTATATCTTACTTACTTACAAAGCTCTTTTGGCTGTATTTTCCTGTGGATCACAGGAGTGAAGTTCATTCTGCACTCCTGTCACCTGTTTTCAGCTGTCATCAGGCTGAAGCCTGCTGTGGGCTGATATCACTCAGCCGGTCCAGGCTGGAGAAAGATCCCGACTCTAAAGTCGGGACCCACCCCAGAGTCTGGAGTGGCACGTGGCTCAGCCTATCAATGAGCCGCTTAGAGCCTGAGCCAGCTGCTCCCTCCCCCTCCACAGCCCCGTGCTCCAGTGAGCACTGGGGGGGCAGAGCAGACAGACAGTCACCGCTCTCTGCTCAGAGGGGCTGAGAACTTGGCGGTTATTCGATCGATGCTGCATCCACCTAGGTAAGTATAATTTGAGAAAAAACACCAACTCCATACTTCTCTTTTAACAACATACCATAACATTGTGCTTTAACGTAGGCTGTATTTTATATTTCATTGCTTATACTTATTTTTGCAGCTGATGCTGGAGTGAGTGTATGTAAGAAGGAAGTAGGACGAATTGAGAACTTCTTGTACCTTATCATCTGTGAGACACCTTGCTGGAGCATCTTCACAGTTGCAAGTTTTTCTGAATTCGTTATGTTTTATTTTAGTTTTGTCTGAAGTCCATTTTATAGGAAGAAGGACAAAATGAAAACACATCACACATGCTATGAAAAGAAAAGAGAACTACTAGCAAATATGGAAACATATGTAAATGATGAAGGGTTTAATAGATGTGACCAAATATTCTTCTCATTTATAACATATGCTATTGGGTTACCACAAATTGTTTCGAAAAATGACTCTGTAATTAATTTGCCCACAGTATTTTAACTGTTCAAATATCAAGCTAGCATATAAAGCCACTGCAGAAATGTTCTTGAAGGCACTTAAGTAAAATATGACATAAGAGGAATAAAGGTATCTAAAAAGTTAGCTAGTGACTTCACTGTCCCTCTGTCTTTAATGCTTACTGAGGTAATGACCCAGAGAACATGTGCCAATCAGAAGTTCTAGCATCATGTGCTCCATGCTCATTTCTTCTTGCTGATCCTGGTGTTCATGAATGTTGTTCAGAGACAAGTCATGACACTGATCACGACATGTGCAGTCCTGGATTTCATGCAGAGGGTTGCTTCTCAGGCCAAACAAAATACTGTTCATTGTAGTCATTTGTGAGTGCATTTATTATCAGATTTTATTTAATGCAATAGGTCGGTGGACATTTGTTGGCTTTATTTTAAAGCTGGAGGGCATAGCTGATCTCTGTGCTTCTTTCCACTCTCAAAGACTCGAGTGTGGAGTGGCAGAGCCTCAAACCTATTGGATATAAATAATAGAGGTAAACCAACGATGTGGCAGCCAGTTAATAGGACTTAGAGAAGAGAGACAGCAGCGCCACTCTAAGTGTAGATTGTTAAAATCAGGCAGATTTAATGGTAAAATTGCACTTACATAGAAAGGTAACAGGTAGGCATGTCAAGTGATGGAAGTCCAGTGTTTTCCTGCCACTTCGGTGGTGTCCAGGGCCTTGGGGAGTAGCAGGGGGGTGCAGGGATGATGTCACAGCATGGACTGGGTTTCTAAGATGGCGCACGTTCGGAGCATACTCACTCCTTCGTCAGTCCGTTGACTGGAGCAGCGGAAAACCACAAAGAGCCAAGCCAAATGACATGATACTCTCACTGGACATCCATCACTTGACATGCCTACCTGTTACCTATCTATGTGAGTGCAATATTACCATTAAATCTGCCTGATTTTAACCGTCTACACTTAGAGTGGCGCTGCTGTCTCTCTTCTCTACCTGCATTAGGAGTATCTACAAGCTCTTACAGCCGGCTGCCTCTTTGGACAAGTCTATACTACTACAAGTCTCCCACTACAGATGGACTTGAACATCACCTCCACATGGACCTTCTACTAACCCCCATTGCTGACGGTCCATCCCAAAACTCACACAGGGTAGATGTGTCTTAGCGCTCCCTCCCCCCACTCACCAGTTAATAGGACTTAACTCATGGTGTGTCTGCACTTATTACAAAGTTGCTGAATTTGTGGAATTCAGCTTTAATTACAATATTGTCAGTGGGTTCCAATTCATGAAACACAGCTGAAAGGTCTGTAGGGTGTAACAATTACATACCTAGTGGACTGGTGGGTAATCATAGGCACCACATCCTTTATAATACCAAAAACATACAACATTTGTTTCGGTGGGACTTTTTTGCTGCCAAACATTAATCACACATGATGTGCTCTCTTTTCCTCCACTTCCAGCAAGACCCCTTTTCTTCATTGTGGTTTTACTGCTTTTCTATTGGAACTAACACATACATTCCAGTTACTTACTAATTCATAAGTGCTGAATGCCTTCTATAATAACATAATTAGTCCCAGTATTGCACTAAGAGCCATGTCAGGTTAGCAATCCTGTTGTTGGTGACAACTGTCCAGAGGGAGGATCACTACGCAGGACACATCAGGGTGGTAAAATACTCACCTGCTTGCACGTGAAAACAGGTGAATGTTTTGACTGCATATTTTAGTGATTGCTTGTGTGACATGAGAGAACATCCACTGGAAAAAGTTTTAAGGCAATCACAAGTTGGACATTTGCACTGCTGTCAATACCATCCTTAAAGAGAAGTAATATTTAATTTTTTGCCAGTTTTTTAAAAGTCTCATGGAAGCAGACTAAACTAAAACATCAAAATACAGAATGGCTCATGAAGCAATTAAATATGTTCTATAAATTATTAAATGAAATCAGAGTTTTCCTTTAAAATGCCATAATACTTTACTTCTCTGATTGCCAAATCATGGGTCAGATATTTACCGGTGGAATGAGTTTTTTGGGTCTGGTTTGTGTAAATTGGCGGGATATTATCAGGAAATTATTTCTTCTTCTGCCTGAAGGATGATAGTTACGTAAAAAAATGCAAAGCTGTTTTTTGGCTGGTCTTAATAACTGAACAATAGCCACATTATACATGTAAGAAAAGTTCCATCTAGTTTCTGATTGTCAGTAAATGACTCTTTTAATGAAAGGCCTATTGTTTTCTGTATTTATCTCTTCAAAGTCTAAGGTTGGTATCTGCTAATATAATTATAGCCTGATGATGTACTGTATCTATTCTTTGATAAGACTATGTACTATGTTTTTACTGCTATCTTTGTCTTCACTATGGAGATTTTCTCTCACTTGGCAGTTGCTTTCACAATTATTATCCAGAGATTTTATGGTTTCCAGGACTGGACATTTGAAGAAGTCTCTAAAGCAGGGAAATAGTTATAAAAATAATTATATTAGTAGAGTAAATAAGGGATAGAACCTCTGTCACTTATTATTGATTTTTTATTGTGCCCAGGCAAAAGGGAATCACCTTACCACCTGTGAAGAAGAAATTATGTTAGTAGAATTAGGTAATAGTTCAATAAGATACTACTAAATACTGATAATTAACCACTTTCATAAGAGGGCACTTTTACCCCCTTCCTGCCCAGGCTAATTTTCATCTTTCAGCCCTTTCACACTTAGAATGACAACTACTCAGTCATGCAACACTGTATCCAAACTAAATTGTTTTTAAGACAGAGCTTTCTTTTGGTGGTATTTATTTGCCACTGGGTTTTTTTTATTTTTTTGTGATATAAGTGAAAAAATCTTTCCCAAATCCCAAAAATCTTTAAAAATAAGTTTTTTTCTTAGTTTCTATAATAACATTTTGCAAATAAGTAGTTTTTCTTCATAAATTTAGGCCAAAATGTATACTGCTACATATCTTTGGTAAAAATAACCCAAATCAGTGTATGTTATTTAGTATGTGTGAAGGTTATACGTAGAATCTACAAGCTACGGTACGCATCATTGAAAATTGATCAATCCTGATGTACTAAAGGCCTATCTCATTTCCCGAGGCCCTAAAATGCCAGGACAGTGCAAATACCCACCAAATAACCCCTTTTTGGAAAGTAGACAGTCAAAAGTATGTATTAAGAAACATGGCGGGTTTTTTAAAGTTGTAATTTTTCCCACAATTCTTTGAAAAATGAATTAAATAAAGTGTGCTTTTTTTCACAATATTGTCATCTTAACAAGTTATTTCTCCCACAAGGCATAGGCATACTTGCAATTACACCCCAAAATACATTTTGCTACTCCTCTTGAGTGTGTGGGGATACCACATGTGTGAAACTTTTTCATAGCCTAACCACATAGAGAGGCCCAACATCCAAGGAGCACCTTCAAATGTTCTAGGGACATTAATTTCACATGTAATTTCCTGACTGCCTATCACACTTATGAAGGCCCTGAAGCACCAAGACAGTGGAAACACACACAGAATGACCCCATTTTGGAAAGGAAACACCCCAACATATATTCTATGAGCATAATGAGCCTTTTGAACATTTCTTTTTTTTCCACAAGTTTTTGGAAAGTGTGGAAAGAAAATGAAAAATTATTTTTTTCACACAAAGTTCTAAATGTATAATATATTTCTAATACACAGCATGAACATACCAAGAATTACACCCCACAATACATTCTGCTACTCCATCTGAGTATGGGGATGCCACATGTGTGAGACTTTTTCACAGCCTAGCCACGGAGAGAGACCCAACATCCAAGGAGTGCTTTCAGGCGTTTTAGGGGCATGATAAACTGCACTGATGGCTGCGATGACAGGTACACTGATAGGCTTCACTGATGGCTGCTGTGACAGGTACACCCAGGGGTGGACTGACAACTCATGGGGCCCCCGGGCAATAGGGATCATGGGGCCCCTGTGTCCTTGCCCACACTCAAAGCACGCCCAAAAAAGCCTATTAAAAAGGTAACAGGGGCATTTAATTGGGCCCTCTACTGACCCCGGGCCCTCAGGCAGTGCCTGAGTGCTCGAATGGTCAGTCCGCCCCTGGGTACACCGATAGGCTGCACTGATAGGATGCTGTGACAGGTACACTGACAGGCTGCACTGATGTCTCCATTGACAGATAGACTGATAGACTTCACTGATGGGCTGCTGTGACAGGTACACTGACAGGCTGCACTGATGTCTCCATTGACAGGTAAACTGATAGGATGCACTGATGGCTGCAGTGACAGGTACACTGATAGTCTGCACTGATGGCTCTGTGTGACAGGTACACTGATAGGCTGCATTGATGGCTGCAGTGACAAGTACACTGATAGGCTGCACTGATGACTGTAGTGACAGGTACACGGATTAGGCCAGCACTGATGACTGTGGTGAAAGATACACTGATTAAGGCTGCACTGATGACTGCAGTGTCAGGTACACTGACAGATTGCAAAAGAGAGTAGAACAAACCCACAAGTTTTTTTCAAATATATTTATAGTAAAAAGTCAGGTCCGAGCATGAAGGCCCTTTACAAAATAATCTAGAGTGGGTGGCTGTGGAAAGAAGAGAAGGCACATTTATTAAATACTTTCTTCAGCTCTGTGTATACAAAGGAGCATGGGGGAGCTCATGTCCATAATGGGGATGTCATTGTCATAGCTCCAGATGATCAACATTGGCTCAACATTGATATGGTCCAAAAATATGGACTGGATGGCATACACCCACGGGTCCTTAACCACTTGCCGACCGTGCTATAGCTGAATGACGGCTACAGCACGGTTGTCCAGTTCTGGGATGTCCTCCCAGAACGCGCCCTCCCACACGCCCCCAGGGGCACCTACTCAGCGATCTCCATGATTGCTGTGTCCTACGGACACAGCTGATCACATGATGTGGTAAAAGGTCAATCACAATGGCCTTTTACCACGTGATCAGCTGTGTCCAATGGCACAGAAGATCACCGGTAAATGCAGTTGCCAGTTATCGGCTGCACTTTCCTCACGCTGTCACAGCGTAAGGAAAGTACTGCCGATAACCGGCAATTGTTAGAAGACGGATTGGCACCAATCATCAGGGCACTGATGATCAGTGCCCTGATGATCAGTGCCACCCACCAGTGCAGCCCACCTGTGCCCAGCAGTTCCGCCCACAAATGCCCAGCAGTGACACCCACCTATTCCCATCAGTACCCATCAGTGTCACCAACCTGTGCCCATCAGTGCCTAGTAGTGACACCCACATGTGCCCATCAGTGCCACCCATCAGTGATGCCAAGCAGTGCCACCCATCAGTGCCCAGCAGTGCCGGCAGTCAGTGCCTAGCAGTGCCGCCAATCAGTGCCATCAGTCAGTGCCACCCAGCAGTGCTGCCCATCACTGCTGACTATAAGTGCCCATCAGTGCCGCCTATCAGTGCCCATCATTGCTGCATATCAGTGCAGCATCATCAGTGCTGCTTTATCAGTGCCAGCTCATCAGTGCCCCCTATCAGTGCTGCCTACCAGTGCCCATCAGTTCTGCTTATTCGTGCCACCTCATTAGTGTTGCCTATCAGTGCCCACCAGTGCCGCCTATCAGTGCCCATCAGTGCTACCTATCAGTGCCCATCAGTGCTGCCTATCAGTGCAGCCTCATCAACGCACATCAGTGAAGGAGAAAAATTACCTGTTTGCAAAATTTTATAATAGAAACAAAGAAACTTTTTTTTTCAAATTTTTTGCTCTTTTTTTGTTTATAGCCCAAAAAATAAAAAACCCAGCAACGATTAAATACCACCAAAAGAAAGCTCTATTTGTGTGAAAAAAAATACTAAAAATTTAATATGGGTACAGTGTTGCATGACTGCACAATTGTCATTCAAAGTGCAACAGTGCTGAAAGCTGAAAATTGGCCTGGGCAGGAAGAGGGTATAAGTTCCCAATAGGTAAGTGGTTAAAGAATTGAGCTCTGCTATTTCAAAGCCATTATTTCTAATATTTAGAGACTCTGTAATGATTGGCATAGTACCACTGGACTGGCGCAAGGCCAATGTGGTGCCTATGTTTAAAAAAGGATCAAAGTATTTACTAAGTAACTACAGACTTGTTAGTTTAACTTCTATAGTCAGGAAGATACTGGAGAGTTTAATAAAAGACCAAATAGATGATTTATTGCTAGAAAAAATATTTTAAGTAGCACACAGCATAGATTCATGAAAGACAGAAGTTGTCAAACAAATCTAATTTCTTTTTATGAGGAGGTAAGCAAAAACTTAGACAAAAGAGTGACTGAAAAATCAGTTTGCACATGGATAGAAACTGGCTAAAAGACTGTATTCAGAGAGTAGTGGTTTATGATTCATACTTTGAATGATCTAGGGTTGTTAGTGGTGTACCCCAAGGTTCAGTGTTGTGACCCTGATAGGGAAACTGCATATTTCACATTCCTTATTAATGCTGGCCTCATGAATATCTAATGAGGTCTCTAATATCCTGGTTATTCTGGTTACCCTAAATACCAACTCATACCAAAGGAATGTGACTATATGGGCAAACCAGCCCACTCTCCTTCCAGGAATGTGCCACTTTCCTTAGAAGGTAATTTTGCTTGCAGTGGGAGTTGACCATTTCCTTACATTTAAGGTCTATATTACCACAGCCAAAACTGGTAAAATCTCAGTCTCAAACCAATGCTTGCAATCATGCAGCAATCTGAATCTGGCAGGCTATGTCGCGAAAAGCGGGCAGGGGCTCCATGGCAAAACAGCATCTTTAGTTAAGTCTTATTGTTATATTTTTTAATATTTGTTATCTGTATCTGTCACTACTTTTAGTAAACGTTATAAGTATTTGTGTGATTTCTTTTTGCACATATCGAATACAACCCCAAAACAAACAAATACTTTTTAATATATTTATAAATGATATAGGGTCTGGGATAGAAAGTACCATTTCAGTGTTTGCAGATGAAACAAAGCTATGCAGTGAAATAACATCCTTACAAGATGTCTCCAACTTACAATCCAACCTCAATGTGCTGTTTGATTGGGCAACTGTTTAGCAAATGAGGTTTAATGTTGATAAATGTTATTCACTTGGGGTCATACATACATATGCATCTTACATACTAGGGGGAGTAAAACTGGGGGAATCAATGGTGGAGAAGGACCTGGGTGTTCTGGTAGATCATAAGCTTAATCATGGCATGCAATTCCAAGCTGCGGATTCTAAAGCAAGGAAAATCTTTTCTTGTACTAGGAGAGGTATAGACTCCAGAGAGAAAAATATCATTTTACCCCTGTACAAATCATTAGTAAGACATCATCTGGAGTATACAGTTCAGTTTTGGGCACCAAGTCACAAAAAAGATATCAGAGAACTGAAGAAAGTGCAGTGAAGGGCAACCAAACTGATAAGAGGCATGGAGGAGATCAGCTATGAGGAAAGATTAGAGGAACTGAATGTATTCTCTCTTGAGAAGAGGAGATTAAGGGGGGATATTATCAACATGTATAAATACATCAGTGGTTCATATAGTGAACTTGGTGTTGAGTGTAGAGTTTGTAGAGTGTAGAGCTGGTTCTGGCCAGCTCAGTAGATTGTTTTTAAAAGGCCTGGATTCTTTCCTAAATGTGCACAATATAACTGGATCAGGGGGTGGACTGACAACTCATGGGGCCCCCCGAGCAATAGGGGATCATGGGGCCCCTGTGTCCTTGTCCAAACTGAAAAAAGCCTATGAAAAAGGTACCAGGGGCATCTCATGGGGCCCCCTACTGACCCCCGGCCCTCGGGCAGTGCCCGAGTTTCCAAATGGTCAGTCCGCCCCTGAACTGGATACTAATATTTATAGGTAAAGTTTATCTAGGGAATATCCAATTTCCTCTTGGGGGAGCAAGAAGGAATTTTTTCCCCTGCTGTAGCAAATTGGATCAAGCTTTATTTTTGCCTTCCACTGGAATAACTGTGGGTATAGGATAGTTTATATAGGATTGTATAATTTTTTTTTGGTTCAACTAGATGGACTTGTGTCTTTTTTGTAACTATGATGACTGTAGTGACAGGTACACTGATTAGGGTTATGCTGATGGACTGCAGTGACAGGTACATGGATTAGAGCTGCAGTGAAGGGCTGCTATGACAGGTACACTGATTAGGGCTTCACTGATGGCTGCTGCTGTGACAGGTACACTGACAGGCTGCCCTGATGGGTGTTTGTGACAGGTACACTGACAGGCTGCACTGATGGGTGTTTTGTGACAGATACACTGACAGGCTGCACTGATAGGTGTTTTGTGACAGGTACACTGACAGGCTGCCCTGGTGGCTGCCACTGCGAGAGGTACTATTTTAATACAGGGCTGACCAGGCAATCAGGGCACAGTACTGAAGGGGTTTAAAGAAGTAACCCACTGTTCCGGTGTTCTCCTTCTCCCAGAGGATCTGTGTGTAAGGAGGAGAAGCCAGTAACAGTGAGTTACTGCTGTTTGTTGACATCACGTGGTAAAGAGCCACTGTCATTGGCTCTTTACCCTAATTGCTGATGCGCTATGTCTGAGCGGCAAGACAGAGAGGATGTCATTCTACTATAGGCCCAGTGGGAAGGGGTTAGAATGTATTAAGTGTAGTGGTACCCCCCAAATGGGACCAATTGAATAGATGATGATGACTTGAATCCTTTTCAACAGGAAGATCCTGCTGTTCTGGAGTTTACACTATTTATCAGCCTCTCCAGCCACCTACTGATCCACCCTCCCAGGAAATAATTGACACTCAATAAATATCAAACTACCTATTTGACTCACCCCTCCTTATGTTCTGGAAGCCTTTAGAAAGGGGGGGTAGTAAAAACCTGCAACCTGAGAAGAAATAAAAAAAACACTCCAATGATTACAGAGAAGCCAAACAGAACTTAATTTGCCTACTGTCCTAGCAGCCTATGTAGGAGGGTGCTACATAGGTTTTATTAAAAAATGTTTTATACTACAGTATATGTTGAACTGTTGCTCATGTCTCTAAACACAGTTTTTCTTATACAGTTTTTTTTGTTGTAGGGTGGCTTAATACAGCGGAGTATTCATGT